AAAAAGTTGCCCCCCCCAGTGGGGGGAGAAAAAACATAAAAAAAAAAAGACAAAAAAAAAAAAAAAAAAAACGAGTGAAACGGCTTCGCCGGTTCTAACCATGTGAGTAACCGAAGGAACTCCTTGTTTACATTTCATTAATTAGATAGAAGGTAGAGCCGCATAGATGAATTCATGGTTTAGAAAAGTCATTGTCTGCAGCATCGAGGCTTCCTCTGCTTCAGTTTTTTTATTTATTTTGATTTTAACAAATCAGGCAGAAAGTTCATCCGGGGGCTCCAGACGTCTAAACAGAATCAAACACAGTGGTGATAGATGTAATGTTGCTGTGAAGTCATGTCCTTTGTGTTTTATTTTATTTTATTTTTTGCAAAGCTTTAATCTTGACAAGGGTTTGTTCCTTTTTCGCTGTGCACACTGTGATGAGAAAGCAAGAAACAAAAAGAAAAAAAAAAAAGAAAAAAAACAACAAAGCCAGGAGACAGTGTACCCAGCAGTGAATTTTTAATCATGGTCTGCATTCCCTGCTGTTTAAGGGTCGCAAAGTAATTGATTTTTCTAATGAGACAACGTGCAAATTTTGAACATAAGCAGCAGGGGGTGGTGCTTTGCCAGACTTGTGGACCAACTTGTAAAACGAAGAAGAAAAAAAAAGAAGATTAGAAGCAGTATCAAAAATGTGACTTTAGACTTCAGCGCCAAGGGCCTGTTTTTTTTTTTTTGTTTGTTTGTTTTTTTTTCTAACTTCCATGTGAAGAGCAGTGACAAGAGCACTGGTATGTGAGGAAGGCAACCCAGAAAGAGAGGAAGAAGGGAAAAAGATTGAGAGAGAGGGAGAATCAATAGTGTTTAGACAGAGAAGTGGAGTCTAAGTGTGTGATCAATAGAGAGCAGAGAGGAGAGATTAGCTGCTTTTCTCCCTCAAACTAACACTGACAAATTGGTGAATTGGTGTATCGGCCCTTGGGCTAAACGGATTGACCTGCTGTTTCCATGTTCCACCGTGTACTGTCAATAAAGATCTGTGTTCGTTGCGACTCTCAATGAAGAGAGTGAATGAAGCACCAGAGGAGAGGAAAAGGCGAAGGGACAGCAGGAAACAAAATGTAAGAAGTACAACCTCAGGTAAGGCTGGATACACACAAAATGTCCTCACCTCTGTCTCATTAACAAACACGCGCATTCACACGTGCATCCTCGTGCACAGCGTTATAAAACCATAATAACATCTCCAGGAAAATTAATGGAAAGACAGATTAAAAACTAAGTGAGGAGAAACGGGGCAGTGGTGTAGCTATTTGCAACTCATAAATCATCCTGACACACCCACGCGCATGTCGACACACACACACACACACACGCATACACACACACTCACACACGTACTGTAATTAACCACAGGCTATTTACTCTCTCCTGCTGTAAATTAGACATGCAGACACAGTTATTACATTAGGGGAATCTGCCATGCAGAATGCTAACAGGAAGAGGAGGGTGGCGGGACACACAGGTACACAACACAAGCAGCTCATATAAAAATAAACACACACACACTTGCATGTACACAAGAAAGAAGCTATGGAAGAATCATAGACTGACAGGAGTGAAAATGAAGCTGCAGCACAGAGAATAGGGGCCCCCAGCTCTTTGTTCCCTGCTGCATTTCATTATCTGAAACGCCAGCCGACACACACACACGACTCACGCTCATACAGACACGCAAACGCACCTCCCCCTCCCCTAAAGCTGTCTGCCTTCCAGTCTATGCACACCGCATACACACATAAAAAAAAGAAGAGGAAAATAGAGATACTGCGTCAGTGCCATTCACTGGCATCTGGAGTCGGTCATGACAAGCATGTCTGCATGGTCATCTTTAAATCAGCAAGTGCAGAAGCTGCTGCTCTGAGTCTTCCTCATCTGTTCCTTAAAGAAAGCACTGTCCCATAACTTCCATTTTTAAATACAACAAAAAGATATGTGGGTTTGATTGAAGAAAGTATTGGTATTCTATCCGGGGGAGCTTTTAACAGTTTTTCTTTTTTTCTTCTTGCAGCCTCTCTGTATGTCCTCTTGTTTCCCCTGCCTCCCTCACCCCTCTCTGTCCCTCTGTTTTCCCACGGTGATCGATAGCTCATTACAATCATTGACTGCAGCTCATCAGCACCTGTTAGAACTGGAGAGACGGAAAAAGGCGCACAAGGCGTCTCAAGATTATCGATAAGTAGTCGGATCTACGTTGAATTTGGCTTATAGTTTCGAATTGGGTATTTTCTATTGCACATCCATCGCTGCAGGTGTCTAGTTTGCCTCTGCTTTATGGTCCGTGGTCTTGGGGAACATCTTATTATGCAACTCACGTGAGTACCGTGGTTTGTTGCTATGGTGATTGCCAGGGGAGCTGGAGTATTATAGGTGTTTATCCTAGACAGGAGAAGGCTACTCTCTGTCTATCAGGACATGCCACACAGTTTGGACCACACAATAAGATCAACACATGCAGTCACATGAGGGCAAATGAAAGACATATTCAAATGCAGATGTGAGCAAAAACACAATTTTGTTGCTTTGTTCATTTCAAACATTGATATTCCAAGGAAAAAGTAACTTTGTATAAACACAAAGTTGTTGGTTTAATGCGTTGCTCCAAATGTTTGTTTTTGGAGAGGATAGATTGTGAGCTAAAAGAGGGAAACAGAGAAAAATGGGTCGAGTCAGAGAAGCTATTAGAAACTGCACACCATAGTTAAAAGCAATGAAAAATGTGTTAAAAACAGAATAAAACCTCCAGAGGTCCCCCATGGATTCACGCTCAGGATGTGGTCTAAAGAAAAAAAGAATATTGGCGTGAGTGTGAATTTTTAAGGAAAAGTGGATATAAATGGGGGAACACAATGGCGGCTAGAAAAAAGCAGAAGTGTCTCCCTTCATGCATAAATTACACACATCATTTACATATTCATTATGTTTTGTGTTATAATGAGAGTATTTGCTTAATAGCTTCACCACCACTGGCAGCTTTTGTTTGACACAACAGAATTTAAAGAGTGGGGGGGGGAGAAAAAAGAGGAAAAACAAAGGATCATAGGTCATCTCCGTAAAGTGGGTGAGGTCAATGGTACACAATCAATTTTACTGATAATCGCATCAATCATAATGCTGTATGGTGAGAACAAGCACAACCTGCTCAGGGCTCTTAGAGATGTGAAATGAAGCAAGGAGAGAGAGGGGGGTTGGTAAAAGTTAATTAAAACAACACAGCTTTCTCCAAACTCAGGGCTTTGGTCGTCCTTCTCTTGTCTCAGTGGAATAAGTAACCGCAGCTGTAATTACCTGCAGGGCAGCCACCGAGATCATTCCTTCAGGTGCTAAAATAGTCCTCCAGATGACAATCGAGACAGACAATTTGTGTCGGTCCTATGAGGGAGAAAAAAAAAGTTCCAAATGCGTCAGTGAATTGATGTTGGCTGTGTGGGCAATGCTATGCAATAAACTGAGAGAGTTAACGATTTAAAAAGTGAATAAATGAAATTAGCGGAAGAAAGTGGGACGGAAATGTAGAGACAGGGGGAAGGGCAATGGAAGAATGAACTACAAATGAGAGCGATGGCGGTGGCAGGTTGGCACAGTGCCATCCAGTCAGGACTGAAGCAGGGGCGGGCATGGGCATGGGCGAAGGGGCGAGGAGAATAAGAGTGAAAGACGAAGAGAAACAGACCTCCACAGTGCTTCTATGATGCCACCTTGGCACAGGCAGAGTGGGGCGTCATGAACGGGAAACCGGGCAGGGAAAAGGACGATATGGAAAAGACCCGGGTAAAGCGGAGCTTTGAAGTAAGTGAGATACCATCTTGCAGAGAATGACTCAGACGTGAATGAATGACGAAGACATAAAAGGATGCTGAAGATGTAAATGAATGATTCTTTTAAAGTGACCATCTGCTTTGAATGTACTATGGATTCTGAAAATGCGATGATCATTTCGACTTTTCGTCCCGTCTCTCTACCAGCCACAGCGTGCCAGCCAGCGGGTAGTGTGCCAGTTTGTCCTCATGGCATACCCGAAGCACTTAAAGCAGATGGCGGAGAATTGTTGCAGTCAAAAACAAAGGGACTCACCTCAGAGGATTTGCCTCTAATCACTGTCTGCTCGGACAAAGCCAAGAGGAAGTGCCCGGGCAACGGTTGCCAGTGGTTGTGATGGCATCTTTTGATGGTTTCGGGGCAAAGGAAGGTGGCATGCTGCCAAGGCAACGCATTTGTAAACAGAAACATCCATATGTTGAGCGGAACATTTCAAGCGCCTTGGATATTTTTGGCAAAAACATTACTTCAAGGGAAAGGCTAAAAAGATAAATAGCATCACGCCAAACAAAAACCACGAGGCATTTACGGGCGCTGTCAAAAGCTGTACTAGCAGGTGGAGAATTGCAGCCCAAAAATAGTAACAACGTGGTACAACTACAGTCACAAATGGAGCTTTTGTGAGTGCGTGGCTCAAGAAGCCCATTGCCTTGCTGCCAACTCGACCTTGTGCCAGCTGCTGCACTGAAGGGAAGGTTGCTGGACATTACATGGAATGAAGAGAAGGGAATCTTCCATTTTTACTTAGCGAGGAAGAGAAATAATGAGCAAAAGAAGTAAAGGATGTGGAAGGAATTTGTGCTTAACGAAGAACAGTGGGAGTGGGTGGACGGAGATGATGAAGAGCGTCTTTCCTGCTCTTGCACACCTGGGATGTTCTTAAAGGGAAATCCCCTCAGACTGCTATATGTGTAAAAGGGAGGGATGTGTTGGCATCATCTCCAGGGTGTCAAGCTGTGCTTCTCCACTGCCATCCAGGGAGGGTGCTGCTGGAGTCATCAAGGGCGGGCAACAGCCTGGGCATCTCATCTGCAGCTAATTAACAGCCACACACTAATTCTAACAGCCGATCATAATTAGTGATTTAATCGCTCGTCAGCGCTCTCCCCCCGCCCCCCTTAAATTGCGCCTCCTATTTGGACACGTGCGGATAAGCCAAGGAACGCTTGATCCCAGCCCCCACCTCCCTCCACTCTTCCTCGATCCGTCTTTTCTTCATCCTTGGCTCCAGACTCCAGTGGGATCTTAATTAAGCCTGGGCTTCATTATGCAAATGGAGTACAATAAGCGACAGCAGAGGTGGAGTTGGATATGGACTGAAAAAGAGTGATGGTAGTGGAAAGCTGGAAATGGAAAACATGTGAAAACCTACAAAAATGTTCTTCTCATGTTACTGTGTTGCAGCAATTGTGTGTCATTCTAACATGGATTTCTTCAGTGCTTGCGCTACTACCACATGTTGTCTGAGAGCAAACACCTCACGCGATGAAGCTCCATAGCTGCTGCCAAGGGGAAAACTTCCCTGAAACAACACTGGATATTCAGAATGTCATCTCTCACAAAGAAAACTCTCAAGGGAATCATGACAATGAACCTCTTAATATCACCAGTTGGCTGGATACGGAGAGAGATGGTAGAGATAGGGGGAAAGAAAAGGAGGCAGACAGAAACACTGACAGTGGCAGCAGCATGGCAGCTAATGTCATCTCAGTTTAATCATCGCATAGGATCATGGGGTTCATGAAAATTCATTTGCATATCATTAAATGGAGAGAGGTTATTTGGTGCGGGCCAACAAAATGGGATTGGAAGAAGGAAGGGGGTGAAAAAAAGGAATAGTCGGGCTCGTTATTAAACTGCAATGTTTTATAGTCTGCCAGCCGATTCATTTAATTTGAACGTAATTAAAATGTGTCAGGCTCAATCAATCATGCCAACAGGGATACTATCAATGTATCAGTCTGAAAAAGGACTAATCAGAGGATATGCACTTGGACACTTTCCAATAACAGTCACTGAGAGTGGGCCATAATCCTCTGGAAGCTTGACCAGTCTCCTTCTTCAGTCGGTTATGCAAAAGTGCAAATACTGTGTATTATGTAAAAGCTGTGAAAGATTGTGACATGTTGTGCATTGCTTAATGAGAGGGTGTGCCACTTTGTTCAATGTTGTCATATTGCCCTTCATGTTTTCCTACTGTTGTATTTTTGGTGGAAGAATTTCTCAGGTATGAAATGGAGCCGTCTGCACCTGGACATTCCATACAAAACATGCATCTATTTGGAACCACCAGGCGGACATTTCGCGTAACTAGTTTGACAACAGATGATTTAAACTACATTTCTAGTCTCTACTAATACTCTACCACTGTGAAATATGATCATTGTGACTGCAGTAATTAAAATATACAAGCATTATTGCTTAGGCTTTTGGTTTTGTCAGTGGCTCCAGGTCAACTCACCCCTTTCCCAAGTCATATCCCCATTTCTTACACACATTGCCATTTTGCACTCTCTTATTTCTGTAACAAATATATGGAAACTATGTTGTGTAATACATTTTAAAGCTGTAAAGTATTTTGTTAAATTATGATGAGAAATGGTCATAAAAAATACTCATATTTCACATTATCTCATACACTTTTATTTTTAAAATGGAATAAGATAATCCTGACACCACTCTTTCTATTTCCTGTGGTTTTCACCCCAGTGTTCCCTGTTGAATTGATGAAATATGACAGATTATGACCACTAATCAAACCAAAGGAGGTTTAGGCAAGCTCCTGCTAGTAAATATTCTTAATTGGACTCATGTCATTATTTTACTACAGTTTGAGTTGAAAAGACATAATATTTTGACTGTATATTTATTGGTTGTCAAAGGGAGTACAAATCACCTCCTATATAGGTACACACTGATGTGTTGTTGATATAAAACTTTCCTTAGAAGAAGATTCTATTTCATAACTAATAAGTCGGGTTTGAAATGGTCAAAACTACCAGAGTATGAAATATTTTAGAAGAATGATGTGCCCCAAGTGGGAATCGCAATCAAAATAAGCCAAAATATTGTGTAATAGGCTTTTTTTCAGAAAATTAACATGTAAGTTATACAGTAAATTTGAGATTTTCTTATACATTTCATAATTAAAATGCTGAACTACAAAGAGAAATAAACTCACGCTGCATGGTTTGAGTACATGAGTATAAAATGGTTTGTTTACAGGTGTGAAACAGAAGTAGAAAAGGACAAGAAATGTTAAGCATGTACAAAATGGGGAGTACACATTCGCAAAGGAGGAAATTCATCCTAAGCTCGCAGTTTCTTTTTGTCCAAAGTGTCCAAGATGTCCATGTTTGGCTTGTATGCGGATGCCAGTGTGCATTCCTCATTTGCATAAGTGATATAATTAGGCCGCCCTTTTTGAATGGAGATCAGTTTGGCAACCTGGCAATCACTCTCACATACATACAGTCATGCACACACATAAACACACTGCAACACGCGCTCACTGGCAAGACCTCCCCACACCCCATTCCCAATATCACAGAGGGTCTGTTGTCTGTGAGCAAAGAGTGTAAAGATTAACATAATCCAGCTAATAAGTGTGAGTAATATTCACACAGAGACGCGTGGCATAGACACTCTCCTGCTGATGCGTATTTGTATCTCATTATACATGTAAAGTTCTGTGGCCGCCTGCCAGTGGGGTAATGGGGGGCTGGTTTAGCGTAGTGGGAGGCATGGAAAAGGGTCGCCAAGTGTGGGTCACAACAAACATGTGTAAGTTGTCCTCTCCTACTTTTGAGAAGAACCAGTATAGTTTTTATAGAACTAACAGGTAAGTAAAAGAGAAGCAGAAATAATAATAATAAAAAAAAAAACTGCTATTCCTTTTTTTATTTCTACAAAGGTGCAGTGTCAGTTTTTAAGCAGAATGGAGGAATTATAAATAGTGTATTTGCGCTTACAGGCTAGCTCTACAACATGATTGATTGGGATGGTGTGACGACCATTAAAAAGTCATTTAAAAGATGGATAGGGACCACATTTCCAAATAAAAACCACTTTATACCTGATGAAGTGCTGAACAAACTCTTCTGCAGAGACATTTACTGATTACTATTGAGGTATGAGTGAGTGTAATGTGGGAAGCGATGTATCAGCTGTGGGAGACACCAGGGCGACAGTCTGCAACACAGTTAGGCAGTGAATGGTGACACTGACTTTTATTAAAGCTAAATTTGAATTTTGTTTCAATTAAAAGAAGGACAGATATGTAAAAAAAAAAAAGAAGCATGGATTGAAAAAAATGGCACAAACAACCTTACCGCTGCATGCTTATTAAATTCTATCTGATAGTGCCATGGCTTCAAATGAAAGCTTATCCTCAGAGGCAGAAGGTGTGTCTGCATTTGAGCTCTGTCTCTTTAAGTCGGGGCTCCACCACCGCAGCATGCTTTGGGATTCATGCATAAACATGAGCTGGCCTTTCAAGCTCTCTCCTCACATAACCAATCTAAATCTAAATGAGCCCCCACTACAGATACACCAGCAGGCAATAATTTCACGCCGTCCCTCAAAGCCCCCCCCATCCCACCACCTTCCACCTACGCTCCATACACACACATGCACTTGTACCCCCTTTTTGCCGCAACCCCACCAGCTGCACAGTGCTCATTTGATTAAGAGGGGAGGACAGGGAGAAGGAGAAATGGTGGGGGATCACTTTATCATGATGACTTTCTAAGATGGCTATCATCCAATACGAAGCTATCTCAAAGCCCTCTTGTGTGTTTACTTTGCTTTTGTTCTCCACATGTATCTGTTTTCTCTTCCCTCCTTGCCGCCACAATCAGATCATAACAGCTTCAACGGTTACATTTTCCGCTGTCGCATTTCTGTATAGCAGCTAAATGAACATCCCTCTTTCAAGAGAATATGAGGCAAATACCAGTTAGGATTTGACTTGTGACTGAGAGAAAAGCAGCATTCCAGTGCTGCTGCTTCAACCAGATGGAAAGTTTGTTTGTTCTTTTCAAGAGAAAAAAAAAAAAACAGAATAAAATCCACTGACTTACACCGTGCTCTTTGAAATGTTTCATATGAATATCAGTTTGTCCTAAAGGTGCTGCAGTATGCAATTTTTCCTCCCCTTTCTCCCAGAGTCGTAAAACACATTATCATCATCAGCAGCAGGAGCAGCAATGTAATTCATCCGAGGTCGTTAATATTCATCATATCATTTAGTCACAAAGGAAACTCATCTGGCTGAATGTCAGAGATGTAATTAATGAAGTGACCCTAGAGGTCAAGGCTCCATTCACGAAATGCCTTCCACACTGAGCACACACACTCTTACACACACACACACAGAGAATTGCACACCAAATGCTTTTCAGCCAGATGTACCCCAATACCAAACCCAGCACCAGAGACCCATAAGAGAGCTGATGCCGTTACATAGAACAACATTCATAAAATTACTTTTCAAAGTGAGACTAAAGGGATGACACCAGAGCGTGCACCAAAGCAGACTTTATTTAGCTCAGTGGAGTAAGGAGGGGAGGGGAAGAGGGAAACACACAGCAACATGGGAAAACTGGGGTGGGAGTAGAATAGAGACACACTAAACCACTGGAGCAGGACATAAGGACAGGTGCACATCACAGGTATCTTTTTGGTCATCACTATGGCAACAACATATCCAGAAACAAAATTTAAAGAACTGTTTTACCTACAGCAAGGTTAACAGAGTCTCTTCATCATTAAAGGACTCCAATATGTACATCTTACAGTCACTACGATCAAGAGAATACGAGAAAAATTAAATCTGAAATCATCGGTATAGAACAAAAAAACTGCCTTGGTGGTATTTGGAATGCACATTTCTGCACAGAAGAAAGCTCATTGGTATTGTCGTAAACATTGGTTAGTTTAAGAACAAAAACATGACAGAGATTTTCAGTCCATATCCTTTGGAAACTTGGCTGTGAAGTCAGTCGGAGTCAGCAAAACTGTTTGAGCTGGACTTACTGACCAAAGACTTTGCAACACAGAAAGACACCATACAAATGGAGGTTTTGGGGCTTAACTCCTTCAAACATCTACGCAGTATCTTCATATTCACTGAGAAGTTAATGCCCAAATAAAGTTTATCTTAAACTGGAGGCCTGAAAAAAAATAATCCTAATAACATGAAATCTATTTTTGTCTTATGAGTTATACGATACTGATCAAGAAAACCTGATGGAATTGAGCCCCACAAATCTACAGTTGAAACCAGATGTTTGCATATGCTGTATAAAAAGATGCCTGACCTTTTTTTCTTTCTCAGTGTCTGACATTTAATCAGACTAAATCTGTGCTGCTTTAAGTTCAGCGGGATTACAAAAATTGCTTGGATTTGCCAAATGCCAGAGTAATGAGAGAGAATTTGTTTGCTTCGTGGAAAAAAAACTAAAGGAATCATTCAGGATATAAAGAAAATAATTGGGAGCTCCAGAAGTCTGGTTCATTCAAGGGTACAAGATCCATGTAGTATGCATTCTGTGGTCTGACAAGACTAACATTGCTTAAAAGTGTTTAGTTATAATGGCCATAAATGCACTGTGAGGAAAAAAGGAGGAAGCTTGTAAGACTAAGAATACCCTTAAAAATGTGAAGTCCGAGATGGCATTGTCCGTTTATGTGGTTGTTTTGTTGCAGGAGAGACTGGTGTGCTTAAAAAAGAAGGCATTATGAGGAAATAACATTATGTGAACATCTTTGAAGCAACGTGTCAAGACAAAGTTAAAGCTTGGACATAAATAGGTCTCCCAAGCAGAAAATGACCACAATTGTACAGACAAATTAATTACTAAGTAGTGTAAGGACAAATCAGTGTTTTTAAACTGGACACCACAAAGCCCTGGTTTCAGGGACAGAAAGATTCTGGGCAGAAAAGGTGGAAATAAGCAGGGCGACCTAATAATCTGACAGAGTTATAGAAGTTCCATAAGGAGGAATGGGTCCAGATGTCAGCTGACTATTGTGAAAAGCTTGTGGAAAGAAGCCAAAAACATTCGGCTCATATAATTCAGTTTTAAGGCAGGTACTATGGAAATGTATGAGACCTTCTAATTTTGAAGAAAAAAAAAGTTTAGTCTGATGGAATCTCAGAAACTTTAAAACTAAGTTTTTTTATAGTGTTTGGGGAAAAAAGAAAACATCTGGTTTCGACTGCATTGCATTTGAACAGAATGACAGAGGAGCATTTTATCAACAGCATCACAGGTATTACAGTTTGTAGTCATTAAAGCCTAGTGGTAAAGCGATCAGAGCATGCATCTTTCTACAATATCATTAGAAACTACAGTACATTAGCAGCAAACTGGACATCCTTAAGGGCTGAAGTTCAACACTATGGTATAAAAGAAAAATAAATGCAACATTTCTTAAGAGAAGTAAAACTCTTCAACCGCTATATTACAGACTGCCATGGCTCTAGTTTGGGGTTTTGGTTACAGTCTCCAGTGTGCTTATGAGAGGCAGAAAACAGTAGCTTAGATACAGGGACTCCTTCCTTCTTTAAAAACAGCAGTACATCATCAAGTAAACAGTAGCGCTTATTTTTGTAGTTCATATGGTTAAAGTATTATCACGTCTTTGGATTTTTGTCTTAAAGCATTAATTATTGTTTAGCTATTATTGTTATATTATCATTATTACAGGTAGAATAAGGACTGGTAGAAAATAAACAGAGAGAAAAAACAAAAAATATCAGGCATGAAGGGAGGAGACGAATAAATTAAGAGTACAAAAATAACATTAATAACATCCAAAGTGGGTTTTTTTCCCCCCTCAACTTTGCAGAAAAGCTCAGTACATGTGGAAAAGAGAGCTACGTGTCAAACATCCAATGAAGTCTCGAGTCAACCATACAAAAGCTAAATACTGTACATTTACCCCTCACATTATTAAACACTTTAGTTTTAATAGGTTTTTTTTTTGTAACAATCTATCACCCATAGGTGAAAAGCTCAGATCTTTGAAATGCACAGATGTTTGTGAAAATTTCCTGACATGGTTTGTCCCAAGTTATAACTATAGGCGTCTTTTGTTTTAGAAACAGATCATTACAGTTTGAAGATCACATCTAAGGAGGAGCCATGTTGATCTGAGCATAGAAAGCTTTACATTAATCATATAACATTGTTAAGCCATTGGTATATTCAAATAAAATGGAAAGGCAGTAATTTACCTTACCTGAACATATGAAAGCTTGTCTTAATCTTTTCATTATCATGACACAGTTATATTGAAGCAAGACAGTTTGTGTCAATCCATAAGATTTTATATTAAGAAACTATTACTAAACACACACAATGTAAATTCGAGTTTGGTTAGAGTTTTCATATACAGTATAATGGTTGAGTGCTATAAAAAATAGTTTACCCCTTTTTGGGACAAACTGGCCTTTACATACTGTGCTATTTGGGCTGTTATCCACTAAAGGAACATACAAGGAGCCACATGTACAACAGAAGACTTATCATTGGCTTTTGGGAGGGTGAAGTGGTATTATAGCACCACATCAGTCTGTTGGTACTCACATTACCTCGGACAGCTGCAGATCTCACCCCTCACCATACAGACGTCCGCTCTGCAGTTTGTTACTGAAAACAAACATGTTTAAACTAAATAAACAGACATATAAAATTTTGGTTATGAGCTTTGGAATCTGAGACAGTCTTTACAAAAGCTCTATGCAAAATACCCATAGGTATTTCAAGGATATTATTCAGTTATTTTTCCTTCTTCCATTTCCACTGCTTTGTTTTCTTCAAGTCGTTTTTTTTTTTTTTTTTTTTTTTTTTTTGGAGTTCGCTATTTACACTAAAATCTCTTCAACAATTTATTTTCCAACCTTGACCAGACTGGAACTACATGCTACACAGCTAGTTATCTAGCAATGTCCGGTGGAGGGCCCACTGTGAGTCTGTCATGCAGACTGAGAGGTAGACTGCAGGTCTAGCTGGGCAGTGAGGTCACATACTTGAAGAATGCTCTTTGGCCTCTGTGGCATGGTGTTTTTTTCTTTTTTTTCATATAAAGATGGAGTTTGGTGTAAGAAGGATACTGGAGAAGAGCTTGTTTCAACAAGAAAGGACAGACTGGGAAATAGTTAAGGAGTAATATGAAAAGAGGAAAGCTCTGGTAAAGAGGACTTGGTTTGGGCTCTCCTGTACTAGTTAAGAGAGTTTCTCTTTGGGCCACTGTGGCTCTGCATCTTTGGGGTGTTCAGGTTATTGGTTTGGCAGCAAGTAGACAGTAGACTCAATGCGGTATCTCTGGAGTCAGAAGTTGGAGGAGGGCTTTTACTGGGAACATATTTGAAAGATGCAGTCTGCCTTTCTAAGCCCTGTCTCTCTCCTCTGCTCTGGCTGAAAGCTCAGCTTGTTCCCTCTCAGCAGTCTCAGAGGTCAAGCTCCTGGCTCTCTTCTCCTTCGCTCTGGCATTCTGGAACCACACCTGTGAAATTATTTTCATTACTATGTATCACATGCTGAACTTCACAAGCTTGATTGTCAATCTTTAATATCATTTGGTTGCTTTTTACTTACCTGGACCACACGTGGGGGCAATCCCAACTCTTGGCCCAACGTCTCACACTCAATACGGTTTGGTGTGCGGTGGTTACTGTAGAAGTTTTTTAGCTGAAGTACCTGGAAGTGACTCATCTGTGTCCTTTGGCGCTGCTGCTGATGGTGGTGGTGCTGTTGCTGACTTTGTGTCTCACTCCAATCTGAGCCTTGATCCCCGGATATTTCAGGGCTTGAAGAACCTTGGTCAACCATACTGCAACTCTCCTCACATGGGTAGTCGTCATCATCATCCTCATATTCATCCTCTTCTTCTGCATTTTTCAGGTTGGCGGAAGAAGAAAAAGAAGCCATTGGTGGCTTCAAGCTAAACTCTTTGTTAATCATGTCATAGCCAGGGTTGTGGATAGGGGTGGAGGAGATAGACGGACCTGGTCTTTCTGTGGCAGATGTCATCGCCATCACAGTCTGTCCACTGGATCCATTGCCTATTGACAGGTTGTAGCCTGCTCTTTCAGCCTCCGCCCAGTGGCGTGATCTCATATGAGCATCAAGAGCACTCTTAACTTTGAAAAGAGCCCTGCAGAATGGGCAACGCAGGTGGTTCAAACCAAAGGTGAAACTTGATCCTGGCCCCACTGACCGAAACTGTCCTTTTCTTTCTCTTGCCCGTGTGTTCTGAAACCATACCTGTGAAAAAACATTGGATTTCTTAATGTTCGGCATAGTCAACAAAGCAAAACGATTTACCTACTCATCACTTAAATCATACCTGAACTACGCGTCTTGTGAGACCCACATCTCGTGCAATACTCTCAAGGACTCCTCTGGTGGGGTTAGAGTCCAAACTGTACCTCTGGTATAACACTTCAAGCTGTTCTGGAGTGATGGTAGTTCTCTGACGTTTATCCCTCCTGTGCTCATCTTCGACCTCCCTATTGCCTCTTTGGCCTTCAAAACTAGACTCTGATATATGTTTTGAACTCTGCTTTGTGGGGCTCAAAGAATTGCTAAGAGTGTTGCTACAATGATCAGAGAATGTGTTCTTAATTTGGATATTGTTCAAGTGTGAAATCATGGGATGTGTGGGACTGGGGTGTATCTGGGACATGGCCCCTGAAAGCATTTGACTTGCCATTAAAGTTGGGTTTGGATGAAGCATCATGTAAGGCATGGGTCGGTCTGTGAATCCAGAGTGTAAAAGTTGTACCTGGGACTGAGCTGCCAGGAGATGCCTAGTCTGATGTTCTTGCCACAGCTGAAAGGATGGCAAAGCCATTGGGCAGAGACTACATTGGAATTTTGCTGGGGGTTGAGGCTGGGTTTCAGTTGATAGGCAAGCTGTTGTATCAGGTGCCCAAGGCTGAATTGTTTCTGATTCTGGAGCAGAGGAGGGGCTTGGTGATGGGTCAGCAACTTTTTCACAAGGTTGGGTTCTTGAAGGACTGCATGTAGTTTCCTGGTTTGATTTAGCGTTAGTCAAGATTTGTGTTGTACTATTTTGTAAAGTGGATGCAGCACAATTCTGGGGCATTTCTGCCAGATTTCCAGGCGGTGAATCAGATACTGTTTTTAAAGTCTGAAGGACTTCTTTGTGTTGTGCGTCTGCATCTAAAAGTGTACTTTGACTGTTCCTAGAAACTGGGCTCGTGTTAGCCTGAGTAGAGGTTATTTTGTCTTCATGTTTTTTTGTAGCAGATGTTTGCTCACTTTTGGTTGTGTGAGGCTCATTGTCGGAGCAGTGAATGGAAGAATCAAGGGAAGGTGAATCAGGGTGGGAGTAATACTCATATGTCAAATCCATTGAATTTTCATTATGAGGGTTTACTTGTCCTCCATCTTCATAGCTGTTGTCCTGATGATCAGCATCAGTCATGTAACAACCATCTCTTTGTTTGTTGATGTTGTCAAGATTGCTTTTTCCCTCTGCTCCGTCATCTGATCCACGGTCT